AAAACGTTCTATCTCTCATTTCTTTACTTTGCAGAAACAAGACCGTTTGAGTATGGTATTTTTTCCGTTTATTAGCGATTATGCGAATACTAAGAACTTTCTTTTTCAAATAATGAATTTCTCAATACCAAATTTTAATGGACCGGAAAAACACTTTCATGGTAAACAGGAAAACTTTGGACAAAATACTTCAAGCGAGTACTGATTTTTTTTATTAATTAGGGACATAGAAAAATTGAATTAAGTAACCAACTTTAACTTTTCCTGCTCAAGGCTTCGTTCGTAGAATGTGTCTATTTATAGTCTGAACAGTAAACGTAACGTAGTATCAAAGTTAGATACAGGTTACATAATAAACTGCAGTGCGATTTTAACAAAAGGTGGAAGTTTATTACCACACTTACATAAAAAGTTTAGAACAACTTATTGTCCCTTTATTTCTACAGGGTTTATACCCATACACTAGATACATCTGGCCATTTTCATAGAAGCTAGCCCAAGCTAAAGCAGCCCGCGTTTTATATTACAGCTAGATTGGCGCTAGCAGAAAATAGCAGACTAAAATCAAATATTTTACAGATATGCTGATCATTGATAGGCATTACTATCATTTATAAGAAAATATATTATATCATTTTTTTCCTGAAAAAACCGATTAAGATTGTAATAGTGAAGACTTTATCTTTGCTAATATAAAGAGAAAGGTTTTTATTTTTGTATGCTCAAAAACTAATGGATCAATTTGAAAAAATATTTCACCGTTATAATGCTACATTATCTCTAAGTAGGCATAGGCTGTATTTATTTTCGAAATATTAAAAAAAAAAACAAATCAGCAGCCGGGCGAGTCTTAGCGGCCTGTAGTAGTAGTAATATGACAAAAATATGAAATTGGATATAAAAACTCAGTAGGAAAAGTAATTTGTCCCCTTTGTTCGTAAAATATGATAGCATATCAGACAGAGGAAATGCATGTTTTAAACACTACTTTTGATAATTGGATTCTTTCTAGGAATCACACAACTAAACTCGTAATTCTTTTAAAACAAGGCATAAATTGTTATATCTGTTAGATATAAAAATAAAATACGTACATACATTTCAAATTTTAATGCATTTCTTATTATGCATATATCGCGATACGCGCAATTAACCCTATAAAATATAAATGTTCCAAGTTCTTATTATTTTGTCTTCATTAATTATTAAGGTGCATAACTTTTATTTTACGATTTTAACGTTAAGCTATTTCCATATTATTTTTAATAACATTAAAAATACTAACCTGTCCATATCGTGATGACGTTAAATGCACATTCCGATTCTTTAACGGAAACTCCGGTCTCTTTCCCAGGCCATAACCACTCTTCTGCATAAACTTTTTGGGCCTGTCCAGCCGCTCGGTGGAGCCCGATTCCTCCTCATCGCGTTTGGAAGTCGACGGTATCCCTCGATAAGCCCCACGGGTCCCTCTGATCGTCTTCTCTGGGCTCTTATCCTGTTTCCTTGCTATAAGGTTGTCCTTCCTCTGTTTGTTTCGTAACGACACATTGCTCGACATATTGTCCATCCCCCATTAGACACATTAAATAAATTGTATAAAACGCAAATCAAACATTAATAAATAGCTAAATACACTAATATTGATTGTATAATAAAAAAATTAAATCCGTCTTTTTATTCTCTCTCTTGTTGGCATCTTTCTCTAGCAACCCCGAAACTAAACTATCAGTACTATACTAGGTAAACAGTCTTCAATAAATTTGGAAATTGCAGGATTCAAGATCTGTAACAGAAAAAAAAAAAATTTTAAACTATGGAAACACAATGTGAAGTGACTCCAAAAGTAATGTAGAACTATTGACTAGTGACAAAGTCACTGGTGATAAGTTCATGTCAAGCCATGAAAATTTTATCCATTTGGACCATTTACAACAATGGTATTAAGTAATATATTTTATAAGACATGTACTGTAGTACTATAAGTTGTTATTAAAAGCTAACTTAGCATAAACAATGTAATATGTGACCTTGTAATAATCTACTTCATTAAAAGGGCAAAGGCCTCATTTAATTTAATCAACCACTTAATGCAAGAATAATTGTATACTTTTATCTAATATAAATTCCAATACTGATTTACTAATTACCTCATTACTCATATTAAAGGCCTCTGTAAAATTTTGTTACATATAGCTTGAAATTAATTATTGCACATATGAAAGAAGGCCAGTAAATTAATCCTTATATATTTATCAGCACATATTCCAGGTACTGTAATTGATTTTGGAGTGGAAAGAACAGAAGGCTGATCATTAACTTGAATCTAAATAAAAATAATGAAATAGATCCAAAAAATTGTCTGTCCAAAACTTCCTACATATACAATATTTAAGTAAAACGTCTATTAACATTACACCCATTTAAAACTATTCAATATCTTTATAATGAATTAGTTACTAAAGCCAATGAGTACATAAGTTATCTAATTCTAAATTTATTGCGTGTTTTGGATTTAATTTGGTATCACATTTTTTAATCTAATTCTACTAGACCAAACTAATCAGCAATGATATTAAATGATTTCATATAAATTTCAAGGAAAAAAAGTAGTCAACTGCACTAAATTCTTTCCTAAAAATTTGGCAAAATGCCAAAGCACAGAACTTCACATGATAGGATGCAGATTTATGCTGACAATTACTGAATAATCCAATCATTACCATATTTCAAGTAAATAATGTTTGTTAAGTTTTTCTAATTTTAAAGTACATATCCTTATAAATATAACAACATCCTAACTGGTTTATAAAATGTAGATTGATCTATATTTAGCTCTTGAAATCTAAACTGCTATGTAATACAATACATTCAATTAATACACCTAATTATATACATACTATTATAAACTACATATATTCTTGATTGAGTCTGATACGGACCAATTAATTATATTTAGTTTCAAAGTATCATTTAATAAGAGTTTGATTTTGTGTAGGCCATAAAGCTTTTTTATCCGTGATTATACTTATATTTGCAAAATGAAAACAGTAAACATTGGTTGGATAATTTATGCACGGAAATAGTGTTATCATTCAATCAGGCCTCTAGTTGCCATTTGATTGTTATCAATCAAATCATCATCCACTTTAGCCAGCAATAAGCTATTGCTAAATTTAGCTCAGCCATCAGGAAATAACAAATATTAAGTCATGCAAGAAACAGTTTGGTGTAAGATTAGAAAATATTAAGCCATAGTATAACAGATTTGATTTGTATAAACTGTTTACTTTTTTTAAATTTTAACATAGATTGAGAAAAGTGAATTATGTAGGATATGTTTTTAGTTATTGTTTACTCCAAGAACTATAATTACAATTTTTTTAATTGAAATGCTTAGTGAATTAGTGAAATTTTATTTAATTGCTACTTCAAGCTTACTCATTTATAGCATTTCATTAAGTGCTTCATTTGTCACATATACCCTAAATTCAATCAATTTAATAGGTAACTGATGATTTTTAGATTGATGATAATAATTGTAAGTACATATATATATTTTGCTTATTTGATGAGAACCAACAGTAGCAAATATTAAAATGATTGGAGGCAGTAAATTGAAAGATTATATACAAAGCATGTATGTGCTCTCAATTGGCCTCCTTTGTGTAACATTTAGACGTTATTTACAAATCAAATCACGAAAACAGATGATGCACGTCTGACGTCTTTAATTTGATTATTGATACGACATGGGTCTGAAGACTGTGCCAAGGCAAAGATGTTCAAGAGGTCAACATTCCACATTTTTCACATACGTATTAATAAAAACTAAAACTCCTAATACACCGATAATTATATTTACTCGCCGGCAGAGCGATCCAGTGCGTAAGAAAACACGAGCGATGGTCACGAATATCTCTTGATCACGGCAATTTTTCAGCATTGGCACTTACACTTTAAGTAATTATGCACTGATACTTCTGAGACTTTCATGCATTAGGCGTTTTATTGCAAAACGAATGGCGCATAGTTAAATCAAGCTGAATAAATAAAGTAAAAATTGAATTGACAGGACGTCAGAAACAAGTTCAAAATTTTATGTAAAGTATGAGTTTTATACCTTCGTTTCCTCATCATGGTTAGTAAATACTTTTAGATTATCTTGCAAACGTTATTTCTACCAGATGAGTATTGGAGTCTATAAATACTTACAAATAAAATCTGGAATCACACCATTGTTTTTTCATCTGCACAAATTTTTTTTTCCGCACAATCAGTAAATCGGGGTTGCTATTTTTTAATTTTAAAAGTACTTTGTTAAATGAAAAGTGGGTCATAGAAAACTGTTATTTGTCAAAAATTTGATTATTTTTATTATTAGTTTCATGGGATTTTTATTCTAAGATGGAATTATTACAAACTAAGATTACATTACTAAGATTTATCAATATATGAAACTTGGAACCAGAGCCGAATATTTTGTGTAGGCATAATTTGTACTTCTAAAATTTAACATAATAGTAATGATTTTTTTATTCTTAGATTATCTTTTTACCCATAATACCCTGAAATCATACAAATATAAAGCTTACTTGATAATTATTATCCACTATTATGGCAACTGAGTTAACTATTGCAACACAATAGCCTCATTTCAGTCTATTTTCCATTTCACGCATATGATTATAGATTACTGATATTAAAATAAAAAAATTGTGAAAACCCCTTAAAAAAACTCAATATATATCTGGATATCTCTTTATTTATCTTATTATACAAATTACGTTCATTTTGATCGTTTACTATTTTAGAAAATAGGTGTGTTAGTCAATGGAAAACGTCATTGACATTGACAGTATATTTGAAAAACTATTGTCAATAGTCATTCGTCATATTGTGGTCGATTTAAAGAAGAATTGTGTTTTGTGTACATGGCATATTTTTAATTTGATAAAATTTAAAGGAAAACATGAAATAATTTGCGTGAAATTAGTAACATGGCATTCGTGAGTGCAGTTACCGGCGATGACTCCACGAGAAAATTTATGGACGTCTTGCAGAATGATTTCAAGACACTTAGCTTGGAAACCAAGAAAAAATATCCCCAGATAAGAGAGGTTTATTACTTAATTTAATCTAATAATTTAAAGTACTTAATATAGTACATATCACCATAAAATGTATCCATATTTATTTCAGTAAAACTGTATTTACTACCGAAACTACCATAAATTATCCAATAAGAATGACAAATACAAGATACAAAACAAATTTCTTCACAGACATTTTCTCATTATCCTAAGAATTAAGATACAAATATATTATTATAACACTGTAAGGTTCAGTTAGGTATTTCTAATTTTGAATAAAAATAACTAACAGTCTTGTCTTTTCCTTTAAGGCATGTGATGAAGCAATAGAAAAGCTATCCTTAGCTGCCAATAATCCGCAGGCTTCATTGTATGGAGTTGTCAATCAAATACTTTACCCCCTTGTACAAGGTTGTGAGTCAAAAGATGTGAAAATCATAAAGGTAAGCAATAATGGTACAATTTAGTCAAAATTGAGATATGAGGTTTGTTGCTAAAAATTCATGTAAAAGACTTTAATTTCATTGTGATTGCTACATCATAATTAAATTCTTTACAGTTCTGTCTGGGCACTATTCAACGGCTGATTGCTCAACAAGGCATTGATGCCAAAGGAGCCAGGCATATAGTTGACTGTTTGTTCAACTTGGGCCAGGCAAATACACTTGAGCTAAAGTTATTACAAACTGCTGCATTGCTTATGACTACCTCTGATCTAGTACATGGGGATACTTTAGCTAGGGTAAGCAGATTAATAATATTTTTTTTAAGGTCACACAATTTTAACAACTTTATCTTAAGGTATAGTGATGTGTTAGTAAAACTAAACATGTTCCTACCCATATAACAATTACCGCTGTACCTACCTCAAATAGAATAAGTTACAAGAATTTTTATTTTGGAGGCATAGATTCTGAATGGCTTAATTATTATTCGCATTTTGCAATAAAAAGTCTCATTGTAACAGTAGGAAAAGTGGCAAAATATGTTGTTTAAAACTTCAATTTTACCAGGTACATAAACAATTGCAGCATAGAGGTTGTATTGTTGAATTACTCACTCTGTATTAATATCTATTAAATTTCCATAGACAATGGTGCTGTGTATGAAAATGGTGGCAGCCTGTGAGGGTCGAGATGTGAGCACAAGTCATGCTGCAGCGGCCACTGTGAGGCAACTTGTTGCTTTAGTCTTTGAGAGGGCTCTTGCTGAAGCAGACGGTGAAGTTTTTATATGATAATACTAGCTGATAGTAACTTTTCAGCAATTGTGATTAAAAATGTATATACATCATGTTAACCAAAGACGATTTTAATTTATCTTGTTTTATAGGTACACTAAACGTGAATCCTGCTGATGTCAGAATACAAACAAATCAAAAAGCTCCAAAGGATCTTAAACCCTGTGCTGTTGATGCCTATCTTATTTTACAGGTAAATACTAAAAAATTATTGCTTCTATTTGTGTGGATTTATATTATTACATTTGTAACTTTTCTTTTCTTGGTTACTTTACTGAGATGTATAAAACTTTAAATCTTATTTTTCAGGATATAATACAATTAATCAATGGTGACGCTGCAAACTGGCTTGTCGGAATATCTGATGTTCCAAAGACGTTTGGCTTGGAATTGCTTGATACTGTACTTACTGATTTTTCACCTGTGTTTTTTAAAGTAAGTTATATTAAATATTTGTAATATTACATCTGTAGATATTAAATAATATTTACAAGGATTTGCATATTTTTTATGTTATCTATATAGTACTATTTTTTTTAATAGACAGTATAATTATATTTATTATTTACATGACATTTTTTAAAACCTGGTTTTCATTACAGATAACAGAATTTAGATTTTTACTGAAGGAGCATGTATGTGCATTGATAATTAGGCTGTTTTCGCCAAATGTTAAATACAGGTTAGATCCTTTGTATTATATATTTTAATATTATATTGCATTGTTTACTCACATGGGATATAAGCAAAGGTCCTGGTTCGATTCCAGGTGTAATTAATTATGTCGTGTTAGCTCAACAGTGAGCAGGCCCTTAGTCTATTTGCTTTATAAAATGTTTAGTAAAACAGACATTTTTCTATTAAAATATATAATATAATAATACATGATTCATAATTCAAACTTGTTAAATTATTTTTATTAATTGTTGCGTCGCAGATTCTTTATAGAAATAGAAAAAAATGGATATTTATTATTTCTTCTTTGATATTCCAGGGCAGCCTTTACCGCCCCCCATATACCAGGTGGTGGAGCGGGGGGAACCCCTCCCGCCCCAGATAGGCCCCATTTTCCTGTTACTATGAGATTGCTTCGCTTGGTTTCTATTATACTGCACAAGTATCACGATTTATTAGTGAGTATAAAGACATAAAAAGGATCAAAATTATCTAATCTTAGACTATACTAAGATTATTATTGATAGATAAAATTTTCTCAGAAATTTTGGGCTTTGTATAAATTATAAATATGAGCCTTTGAGGCTTAATTGATATAGCAATTGGTTTATAAGGTAAACGCTCCTAGTTTCGATTCTGATCTATGAAAATATCGGTTTAAAATGCAGAGGCGTATGAAAAAACTTCCAGAATAACTGTATCTTTTAAACTCGAAACTGATGTCTCGAATTCTTAAAAAAATCTTTACAAGAAATTTTTGTATCTTTGAATTCACAGTTTGATATATTTTGTAGGTGACCGAGTGTGAGATATTCTTATCTCTAACAATAAAATTCTTGGACCCGGACAAACCGTTATGGCAAAGAGCGCTCGCTTTGGAAGTACTACATAAAATGACTATACAGCCTGGTGAGTTATAAAATTTATGTTTTAGTTGTCTAAATCTTTTAAGAAACACTTGATATAGAATTGAAATAATATTGTTATGCAACTGTTATTAGTGAAGGATTGCTCAAATTAAAAAATATGTGAGACTAAATTCTAAATCTAATATATAAAATTCTCGTGTCGTGGTGTTTGTAGTTAAACACCTCCGAAACGACTTGACCGATTTTCATGAAATTTTGTGTGCATATTGGGTATGTCTGAGAATCGGACAACATCTATTTTTCATCCCCCTAAATGTGAAGGGTAGTCCACCCCTAAATTATTATTTTTAATTCTTAGATATTTTTTTTAAATAATAAAAAATAAATACATACAACCATTGATATACAAAAACCCAAGATGCACAATCAACGTCTAAAAAACGTCCTCAAAAAATGAGCGCAACATTCTAAATTGTGCGCTCATTTCAAATAGTCTCGCGTCTATAAGTGGAGTCGATGTTATTTATTTGTGTTTTTTTTATAAATAAATTTATGTACTCTTGAACTTTTTTGTGTGTAGTTTTTGACAAATATATTTACGCTATATAAAGTGTGGGTCAGGAGGTAGCCAATTTAACATTTTTTTTTAATTTAAAGAAAAAACTTTTTAACCGGATTAATGTTATGTATTATTATAAATTTACAACTATTTAACATCCAACACCTTTTGTCTTCAGTCACCGTGACCACTCACGCTGTAAAGCACCCGAAAAGTCGGATAAATTTAAAATTATGTTAAATAGTTGTAAATAAAAAAGTCATGTTCGACTCCACTCAATACCTTGTCCTACCGACCACGGTCGGTCGTAAAATTTTATTGCTTTAAGTACGTATACACTGCGTTGTAATAACAACTTTAAGCAATTCGCGTAAGGTTGATTTTGCAATAATATATGCTTGTAACATATACTGTTATGGACAGAAATAGTGTTTCGGGACACTTTCGAGCGTTACTTTTATTCGAGACTGTGCATCTTGGGTTTTTTGTATATCAATGCATACAACCCCTAATTTTCAGCCCTACGATCAACCCATATTTTATTAAATAAATAATATTTAGAAATAGTATACATGGCAAAACAACGTTTGCCGGGTCAGCTAGTGTAACATAAATATACAGTTAAGCCACCTAAAAAACATACTAAAAAAAACGTTTTTATTTATTTAAAGAGCAAAATATACCTATTTATTGAAATCGTTTTAGATCTTCTCAAATCGTTCTGCGAGTGTTACGACATGCGTCCGCACGCAACGAACATCTTTCAAGATATCGTAAACGCACTCGGCGCGTACGTTCAAAGTTTGTTCGTCGCTGCCAATGTGAATACTCAGCCCGGTAAGTAAAAATATAAATAGAATTAAATCACATTTTAAACTTTTCGCTAATAATCGTGTTGTCAAAAATATTATATATAGTATTTTGCTGCAAATAATTGAGATTCGCATGGAAATAGGAGGTCTAATTCTTATGTAGTTGTTAACTACTTGAGACTGTCTTTCTTCTATACAAGTGACACGTAACACAAAACAATGTTAACAATCAAACACTTTTATTATTCGAGGATAATATAATGTAAAACTGTCAGATATCGTGGTTATCCACATTTCCAAATAATTCTATCTCCATATTTTCATGGATGCCATCGGATCCTGGTGTTTCAACTTCAAGAAAGTTTAACGATTCTAGTGTGACTTCATCTTCATGATCGTGATTCTCTTCATTGTCGTCATATAGAGATATTTCTGATATATCTTCTCCTCGCCTACTCGAGCTATCTAAAAACAAAATTATCGAAGAACATTCAATTGATTATGTTTATAGTCTTTGGAGTGATTTTCTTTTTATTTTAAATATATTTCAGTCAAATAATCCTATTGTTCGTAAAATACTTACATTTAGCATCTGATCTTAACATGGTTACATTATTGTTACCACTCGCCAGTATATGTGTATAAAGGTCTATCAGACCTTGACAGTGTCTCATACACCGAGAATACGACATAAATCGGTTTGCGCGCGGGTCGCGCGGACATCCTAGTCTTTCACTGAAATATGTTTTTTATATAGCATTATTTAAAATTGTGTACGAATTCAAACTCTTAAATGACAATTTATAAGTAAAAGGTAAAAATAATTTGTGTATTTTGCAAATTGATGTAATTCTTCACAATTGTATTCTTATGGAATATTAATAATTTTTTGACGTTTTAACTACACGGTTTTATTCCAAATAATGATATTTGTAGCTTGTTTTCGTGGATAATAATAAAAATGATCCTACGTGCAATTTTGAAGCGGGAATGCAAAAGTCCACACCGGTCTAATTGGTGTAGAACACACACCAGGAGAAAAACGACGCGTGCACTGCGTGTATCGATGGTACACATCTCGCTGACTAAGATATTTAAATCCTGAACATAATAAATGTTTTTGTATTATATTAGAGTATGAAATAGTGGGAAACGGCTTTATGCAAATTTAAATGAAAACTTCTTATAGCTATTGAAATTGTATAGTAGTATGTAATGGTACGAACTACGTGAATGAGCTTTTATTAAATCGATTGATGTTTTATATTTAGTAGGATTTCAACGTAGGTGTAAATAGATAAGATAAACCCTTACCTTGCTTATCATTATCAGAGTAATTCACATCGGAAGCTGTGATATACACAAATACTCCTATGAGTAAAGCTGTATTTAACATTTTTGATATCTGACATTTCGTGGCTGCCTAGAAATTAAGCAATTAAATTGATGTGTTATATAGCATGTGTTTATAACATTATCGAAAAACCTTTTTATTGTAACTTGTTGTGATTTCCATTTTTTAATAAAATTAATTACGTACTTTTATGAATGCATACAGGAAATGTCTCACTTTTCACGTAACCTGGTGTCCAACCCTTATTTATAAACCTCCATAGCAATTAAATATTATCCTTAACCCTAACGTGTCATTTACTTAGTAACAAATGCAACAAAACCTTAACGAATTGGCATAAAGTCATTTAGGAGAGATTCCTTTACTTATAAATAATGGTCATGTCAATTTTTAAGGAATAGGATAATAATTTCTGTCTAGGATCAACCGGGGTTCCTCAACAAGCTGGTTTCTATTGGAAGGGTGTCTGGCTACCGCTTTGCGTCATCTTCGAGCCTGGTACTGCAAAGTCTATTTAGTAAGTAGTTTATTTAGTATATTAAATAAAAATAATAAATGTGTGGCTCCACGGTGGTTAATGATCAATTGATACATTACAATTGAAACACAAAACTGTTTGAATATTTTTCAGCATAGAAATGCTCGATCGAACAGAAGCGCCCACAATCCAAGATGGCTACGGCATATCAGTTGCTTACGCATGTCTTATAGAGATAATACGGTCCATCGCTATTAGTGTTGAAGGTGAAGAGTATTATAGGTAAGAATTTACCACATTTATTCCAATAACTTTTCCACATTTTTCTTGGTTTTCCAAAAAGTAAAAAAAAACCCTGTAGCACCTTCAACCAACCTTCTAGGTCTGGGCTTCAGATTCCTGAATCTGATTCGTGACTTTTTATTGTTCTAAATAAACAAGTCGTTGATCAACCTTCTATGACTGACACACGCCGTCGCCTTTTTTGGGTCCGTACTAGCGTGGATAGAAACTACAGCCCCAAGTAGTCGCACGTTGAAACCACTAGGCTAATACTGCCTAAAAGCAAACCATACTTATATACTTATAAAATTTCATAGCGCATTGATAGAGAGATTCACCCATAACATAGATTGTTCTGTGTATACGGAATTATTTTTCAGGTTACAGGAACTGTATGATGACAATCAAAACGATAATGATGAGAAGGAAGTCAACACTAACACCAAAGCTATCAGTAATAAAGGTAGAACAACTTTTTTATTTAATTGATGTAATTTTAGACATTAACATTTAATTTTTATTATAGATACAGATGATACAGAGACCAGAGAAATAACGAAGAACGGACATAGTGAGTCTGATCAGAACTCCAATATAGTGAGGAAGGATTCTGAAATGGACGAAAAAGATCGACAGCTTAGCTTACAGGTAGAATTACAGAATAAGCTGAAAATTTAAAAGATGAGATCATATACATATTATTATTATTGCATTAAAACAGCAATAGTAATTGTGGTCGCTAAAAATAACGTCAAATATGTTGTACTTAAATGAAATACAGATAGAATGAATATGCTGTTAGTGAAAAATATTTTCTTTCCTTAAATAACATACAATAAAATAACAAATTTTACATTATTTATTTCGTATAAATATATAGTTTTAATGCAAATTTTAACTAAAAAATATGTATCTATTGCAGCTTATAAAGTCATCTTGGTGTGGCTTAGTGTGGGGTTTATCAGTACTAGCAGAGGCCAGTATTGGAGAGCTGGAGAATATTTTATGTGCCATACAGACGCTTGCTAGAGTCAGTGGGAAGGTTAGTATACAGGTTACTTGCATGACAAAATGGAACAATCACTTCTTTTCGGGTCAAGTTTAATTCTCACCATGCCCGTACATAAAAAAATAAAAATACGTTTGATACCTAATTAAAGGTCAAAGTCAAAGTCAAAGTCAAATCGTTTATTTCAATTAGACCATCTAAAATGGCACTTTTGAACGTCAAAAAAAAAAAATATAAAGATGATTCTAGTTGCCCCTTCCAAAAGGTAGTTTCGTGTGGAGAAGAATGGGCAAGAAACTCCACACTTACTCTTTTAAAATAGGTTTACAATATTTTGTTACATTTGTTAAATAATTATATGTGAAGACAATGTACTCTTAGAATAAACTACTATACTAAAAAAGTTAGTATACATGTTCCTCACATATTTACAAATATCGAAACCTTAGAATATTAACATTAAAGAGTAATAAAAATATTAAAAAAACACAACAAAACAGTGTGTGAGATACAAAAAAAATAATTACATTTGTAGCATTATATAAATTAAAAAAAATAATAATAATAGTAATAACAAAAATTAACATATTTTTTTTTAGCAAAAAATCAGCAACCAATTTGATTTTGTCCAGGCTATAGAGCCAATCATAGGATTGTCCTATGGAGCAGGACCAGCATGTTTCCAAGCATTCTTATCTTGAATATAATCATCTAATTTGTAATATGCTTGTTTACAAAGTGTACTTTTAATAAAACATTTAAATTTTCGTTCATTTAGTTTTAAAATGTCACAAGGTATTTTATTGTAACATTTCACACAGTACCCCATAAATGAATTTTGAACTTTGGCTAATCTGAAAGATGGTTGAGCTATTTTATCTTTATTTCTAGTACTAAAATTATGTCTTTCATTTATTTTACTAAAAAGATGTAGATTCTTTCTTACATACATAATATTTTCATAAATGAATTGGCAAGGTACTGTCATAATATTAATCTTTTTAAATAGTTCCCTGAGAGATTCGCAACGACGTAGATTATAAATGGCTCTGACCGCTCTCTTTTGCAAAATAAAAATGGATTCTATGTCAGCAGCCCGACCCCACAGTAAAATGCCGTAAGACATTATGCTGTGAAAGTAGCTAAAATAGACCAAACGCGCAGTTTCTACATTGGTTAAATATCTTATCTTTCTAACCGCATAAACGGCTGAGCTCAGCCGCCCCGCAAGAGATGTGATATGAGGTCCCCATTGTAACTTCTCGTCTAGCGTGATGCCTAGGAAAACCGTTTGATTAATAAATTCCAGTTTTCCTTCATTCAACATTATGTCACATTCCTTACTTTTAACATTTGGCAACGTAAATCTAATACATTTAGTTTTTTTATCATTCAGTGCCAAATTGTTTACCGTAAACCAATTTTGGACCCGAAGAATAGAGTTATTCACGTCGTCACGATTTTGTGACCGTCGATCTACTTTAAAAATCAATGATGTGTCATCTGCAAATAACACCATCTTCGGTTTATTCTGAACTAATTGGGGTAAATCATTTATGTATACTAAAAAGAGGAATGGACCCAATATCGAACCCTGAGGAACGCCCATTGTAATTTCAGACCCTAACGAGTTTATGCCGTTAACCTGAACTTTAACCTGTCTGTTTTTCAAGTAAGATCTTAGTAAGTCCAGAGCTTTGTTCTTAATCCCGTAGTGATTAAGTTTCAGCAGAAGAGTCTCATGGTTTACGCAATCGAACGCCTTCGAAAGGTCGCAAAAGATTCCAATGGCATCTTGTGCTTCCTCCCAAGCGTTAAAAATGTTCTTGATTAGGGAGACACCGGCGTCAGTTGTACAACGCCCTTTGGTGAAACCGTACTGTTGTTCATGAAAGATGGAGTTTTTATTAAAGTGACATAACATTTGATTGAGCATTAACTTTTCAAAAACCTTACTGAGAGCTGGCAGAATTGACACAGGTCTATAATTATTGGGTTCTTTACTATCACCGGATTTGAACAACGGAACTACTTTACTGTGTTTCATGAGATCCGGAAAGACTCCTTGGTCTATGCTGGTGTTAAATATGAAAGCTAAATAAGGCGCAATAGTTTCGATGATAGAACTACAGACTTTTACAGACAATCCCCAAAGATCTTCTGTAGATTTAATTTTAAGATCTTTAAAAGCTTTCATAACAGCCTGGGGGTTTGTATATTGAAATCGAAACTCCGTAGGGCATGCCCTTACATTCTTCGTAAGTAACGCAAAAGAAAGTGCGGATGATGAACTTAAAGCTTCGGTAGTTTTAAAGGGAATATTGATAAAAAAGTTTTCAAATTCCTGAGCTATTTCTGCATTTGAGTTTATTGGGCCATGTGCAGTCTCTAAGTTAAATTCAGTATTACGCTGTTTTTTTCTACCAGTTTCATTATTTATTATTTGCCAGGTAGTTTTTATTTTGTCATCCGCTGATTTTATTTTATTACTAATATACAGTGATTTAGCAATTTTGCACACACTTTTAAAAGTTTTTGAATATTTCGCAACATGCTGATGAAAGTTTGTATTTTTTACATGTTGCCTTAGGCCATATAGTTCAAAAAGTTTATCCCTGCTCTTACGAATACCTGGAGTCGCCCAATCACTAAATAAGAACTTGGTGTAAATACTTTTTGTCTTTTGTGGAACAATGTCATTAAATTGCGATTTTAACAAGGTAAAAAACTCCGCATAGAACTCATTAGGGTCCCAAATATTATTAAAGTTTTGAACACACAATTTACTGGTCAAGGTATTATTTAATTTCTCTAAATTTTTACATGTAATTGGCCTATACCTTATTTGAATTTTTTGTACAGGTATGTAGGCACAAAACGTTATTGTTTGTCCACTGTGATCAGAAGGCAATTTATTAACAATTTCTTTATGTAAGTAATCACAATTACAAAAAATATTATCTATACAAGTGGCAGAAGAAGCTGTCACTCTAGTTGGTTCCATAAAAACATTAGACAGATTAAATGATTTAAAAAGACTTATTAATCTGATACTATTTGAGTTTGTTTCTAATAAGTTAATATTAAAATCACCACTTATGATGATTGATTTACTACTAGTACTAAGTTTTTTTAACACATCTTCCATTACAGAATCAAATACAGATAGATTCTGATAGCCCGGAGGTCTGTAAACACATACTACAACATGCCTATCGAGCTCGACACAGGACAACTCTATAGAATGTTCAACTGACAATCTGATAATGTCTTTCCTTTCTTTAGATTTAACAGAATTTTTGATTAATATTAATGATCCACCGTGTATCATACACTTCCGGCTGAAATAGCTAACTACACAATAATTTTCATAATTAATAGACATTATCTGATGATCATCTAACCAATGTTCAGTTAAACAAATAATATCGAACTTGGTTTTTTCTAAAAACATTTCTATTTCCAGTAATTTGGAAGAGCAACCTTGAATATTCTGATGAAATAATCTTAAAGTATGTTGCTTTCCTTTTGGTTTATTAAAACATGTTAAATTGCCAGAAGATACCTTTTTATTATCCACAAATAATAATTGATTATTTAAACGGTTAACTTCTGTTGTCTTACAGCCTAGTTTATTAGTTAAGGCGCATAATATATAATATTCAAAATTTCCTATTAATATTATTCCATATGAGGATTAGTACACGCCTATCGGAGTATACGTCACAAGGGGAAAATAACACTATTTGCCCTTATATTTGTAGATAGTAGAGACTTGTCGTATTTGGTTCACAGGTGGGTGTAACAAACGCTCGCGATGCGTGTATAGGCGCGCTATGTCGTTGCGCTTTACCGGCTCAATACTGTGTGCCTGTGTTAGGAGCATTAGCGGCATTAGCGTGTCCGTGGCCCGCTGCGCGCGCGCAACCCTCTCCACAGGCTGATCTGAGACATCATGTTGTATGGGTCGGGACTCCTTTACCCTGTGCGCAGCCACCTGGTAAGAAACTAGAAGAAATATTTATAATTATAATATTTTATTTAATTATTATTAGTAAATTTAAGGTTTTAATGATGTGAGAATTTATTTGAAAGAAGATAAATTTCAACATAGTAATTCGTTTTAAGAAAATATTTACTTATCATAAATGCAATGATTTTAAACGTTTCTTCGTTCCCCTTATATTTTTTATTCTATTATTGTATTGACTTAAATACCTTTTCACGTTTGATTCAGGCCAGCAGCAATCGTTCGTGATGGTGACTTCTCGTCACGTGACAGCAATGCGTGCCCTGCTTCAGGCGGCTCGCCGGGATGGAGACACTATGCAACAAGCTTGGCTGCCTGTTCTTACTACGCTGCAGCATTTGGTTAGCTTATTTTTATTATAAAATTTGATATTGGTGTTTTATCAATCTTATGTTGAAGGTTCGAAAGCCTTTAATTTGTACCTTTATTCTTGTATAAGGAAATTTCAGTACTTACATTGTTCATTATTTTTATTTGGTAAGTGATCATTGTTCTATCTGTGTTAAGCCGGGATTCGATCCACGAATTTCCGTCATCCAAGCCGTGCATAAAAAAGGGCTGCACAATTGTAGTTTATAAGTTTTGAAATATTTTTTATTCCACTAGGTATGGATCCTAGGTCTGAAGCCGTCGACCGGTGGGAGTATGAAAGCCAGTCGTGCAAGTGCCGACGCCAATGCTGTCATGAGCACTTCCGCTGTCATGGCTGACCTCCCTGGTAATTTTAATCTTTTCAACTTATCTTTTTTAGCCAAGTACAATTTAATTACTGTATACAATCAGAAATATATGTACAGGCGATAAATGTAGGAGACTTTTACATAGAAAACAGTTTATTTTTTAATTATTTTAATGAAATTAATAGAAGAAAAAAATGCCGTCACCTGCAGATTCATTAAAAGTCTCATCTTCAGAATTACGAGCTATTACTAAATGGGAAATGTATATAAAAAAATTTACTTCATATTCTCATTGTTTAAACGAACTATATGTAGATTAATAACGGATTTAATGTCCATATATACTTACTTTATATTAAATTATCTTTTTGATGTCGGTTTTTATACAATTTAGCAGTTTTATTAATATAAAACATAAACACAACATAATTGTTGATTAGTCATTTTTGGTTGCAGTATAAACTGATTTCAGGTCAGCAAGTTCCCGTGGCGGAATCTCTGGGAGTAATGAGCGGTATTGATATCTGTAATACGAATATTTAATTAATTGTGTGCTTAATTGGAATTACGTATGGCTAGATATGGATTGTGAAAGTAGGTTTTTGCATCCACAAAGCGAAAAAGGGAGTCTATGTTTGAGTGTATCTTTGTGTTGAAATTGTAGTGACAACCTCGCGTCTATTACTTTCATATAAAATATTCTTTATGGTTATCGAAAGGCTGGAAGTTTTATATGGGATCAAAAGTCAGTAGTACTTTTAATAATGAGTTTTATCAAAGTTGTTTGTGTCAGTCTGGTTTGGCTTTTAATTGTTTGTTGATCAGCAAAAAAAAAGTTTACTGCAAACCACAACAGCAACTTTAATTAATTTAATGAAAATTATTATTACATGTAGATTATTCCCCCCCCCCCATGCAACGCGTCGTAACGTTTTTCTGAACCCAATAGTAAAACGTTTCGTAATCATCAATTGACTCTTTATACCTTAAAGTTACCATTATGTGGTGTAAAGTACTGGAAAGTCGAAAATAATATTAACAATAACGCGTAATTCAATCCCCGCATCGTAACGTTTTACAAAAGGGAACCCCCCCACCCCCAAATTCGTTACGTAATACTTGAACGCTTCCTAATTGCATACATAATACACCTATCCATGGTTAACAGCGACATTTTCCTGAATTGGTACTATGTTCTCTGGGTGTCTTCCTTCTAATGAACTGTGGAAAGACTAACTAGACCATAGCAGTTTTAGCTTCCAAAAACAGATGTATACAGATTAAACTTTTAATTAAAAGTGATAAATTCCAAATATGCGCACGAAAAACGACTAGTGCAACCGCTAGGGGTCGCTTGTGTCCGTCCAACGCACGGGATTGGAGCTTGCTGGCCTTGTTCTAGCACGCGGTTTTGTTTGATATTGCACTGCCTACATAGGCCAGTTCTGCTTTGCACAAACGCTATCGCTCATTTTACATATAGCTGTTTTTAAAATGAGTAGAATAATTTATCAAATGGGTGCTTAAATCGACGATTCTTTACAATAAAAATTTTCTTCTAACAGCATAGAAAAGTAATTCAAAACGAAATCGAAATTGTCTTTTTTATGTCTGGACTTCCTAGGTGGTCACTACAGTGGTGGTATCCTATACATGGACGTATTCTAAAATATTGACAAATTTCAGCTCTATCAGCAATGTTATCGAGAGTGTTCGAGGCTTCAAAGAATCTAGATGATGTAGCTTTGCACCACTTGATTGATGCTCTGTGTAAATTGTCTAATGAGGCTATGGATCTGGCATATTCGAATAGGGTGTGTATTCAAAGAAATAAATGTTTGAAGTATTTAAGAATGTTATTTTCTAATAATATGTGCTTTTTTTATCCTATACAAACATTTTTGGTCTATATCTATAGTCTGTGGTACATGTTGTATATAGTTTCATAATAATAGATTTTGAACTTTTAGGAGCCATCATTGTTCGCGGTTGCAAAACTTTTGGAGACGGGGCTGGCAAACATGCATAGGATCGAAGTGATGTGGCGACCTATTACTAATCATTTACTCGAAGTATGTCTTTAAAGTATATATCATACATATTTAATAATATAGTAAATTAATGTTTATTTTAGTAAATTAGTGATTGTTCGTTTTGTATACATATATATTATGTTTACAGGTGTGTCAACATCCACACATACGCATGAGGGAATGGGGAGTAGAAGCCATCACTTACCTTGTGCAAGCCGCATTTCAATATCATCACAATAACCCTGCGTTAGTAACTGAGGTGAGTCAATGAAATTTTCTGTATTCAGTTGTTATACATTAATATTAATAACACATATAAGATAAGAGTAAATATCTTGATTTCTTTAAAATCAATATAACCAAGATTACATTCCCAGGATGAAAGTTTTTGGTTTTGGTTAGGCGAGAACTATACACTTAAATAAATCTAGTTTAACAAATAAACACTGATAATATCTGAATATCGAGGTTATGTTAAAACTGTTTATATATATTCGTTTAAGACATTTCATTAAATATATATTATTTATTTATATTTACGTTAACAGTGTTCCGACTTGACTATAGATTTTTATCAGGCGCTGATATATTTAGTATTAAAATTTCTATTAAATTTTAGGCTCGCGAGCGCCTGATACTTGAACCATTAGCAGAGTTATGTAATGTACGTCATTGCGACGTACGCGCTCGTCAGTTAGAATGTGCGGCGAGATTATTACACTCACGCGGGGAGCAGCTCGGTGCTGCTTGGCCCTTGATGATGGAGATCATTTCTGCTATATGTGATCAACACAGGTGGGATATTAATCGTAGATAAAAATTACTATCGTAAGGTATGTTAACATTTTTAATGAAAATGTATACAGGTTTTGACTGTTTATTTTATTGTATTCGCTATTAAATCTATTCGTTTTGTTTATTATTTCTTGTCGTATTGTATGAATGTAATAAATAAATAATAACATTTTTTGTACACAGCGAACAACTAGTACGGTCAGCATTCCAATGTGCGCAACTAGTAGCTGGGGACCTATTAGGATGTGCTGGACCCCGGTGTTTACGCCGTGTGTTAGCCGCCGCTGCGGCGTTTGCCAGACAGACCAAGGAGCTTAATATTAGTCTTACCGCTGTTGGTCTTATGGTAAGAGTAACACACACGTTTTCCAATGACTAAATATAATTTTTCTAATATTATAAAGCCTATTATAGGTTTTATTATGGAAAGCATACGTTTGTAATTATAATTTCAGAATAAATATTAATTGGTAATCTCTGATAATATATATCCCTAAAATATCTTATAAAATATAATGTAGATAAAAAAATCAGGGGAATTAATAGACTGGAGAATGTATGACAATCACAATGTTGTATGTCGTTAGAAGTAAATGTTAATTGTATGCTAATTATTACAGTGGAACATATCAGACTATTTATACCACAAGCGGGATAAATTGTCTGTGGCACTCGCGAACGAAGCGGCCGCTTGTCCTGAATACCCCGATTTACCACCTCTGGACAGACTTTGGATGTGCCTTTACGTACGGCTTAGTGAGTATAACATAATAACGTAGGAAAGACATGTTAAATACCTATACCAAAAAATAATTAATGCATTTGAATATTAAATTACCATTATGGTGTTATTCTTCATGTACCTGCCATTGAAAATAAAGATATTTGAACACAATTTTTGTTGTAACCCTATTTTCTTACTTAATGTTATATTCGTCTGTGAAAGGTGAGCTGTGTACGGAACCGCGAGCTCCGGTGCGACGTGCAGCCAGTCAGACATTATTCAGCTGTATCGGAGCACACGGGACCCTGTTAAGCAAACCCGCGTGGAGAGCATTACTAAATATACTCTTCCCTATGTTGCAACAGGTACTTAGCATATAAAAATATTCCTGTCATAAAAAATCTGGAAGAGCTTATCAGGGATAGAGTTTTCTGCTGAATTACGTATTATAAATAGTTCCTTAATATGTCATATGTGCAACAGAGTAATTAAGCCACTTCGTGACCTATTAAGAGTGGCATGAGGAAAGGTATTCGTATTAATAATATATATAAGGTATTATACATTTCCATTAACCTATTACATCTTCGTTTAGGTACAAAAACAGTCTAACATTGCGAGTTCGGAAAAAGTTGATACAGGAGAACATATCTTGATACATCACACCAGAAACACAGCGCAGAAGCAATGGGCCGAAACACAGGTATTTTTCAATGGGAGACTAATTATAATTAGTAACTTCCAAGATTGCAGTTTAAAAGTACTTAACTTATCATTTTATAGAAATCTGTTTTTTAATTGAAGTAAATAAATGATAACTTTTTAAAATGTTCTTTTCCTAATATCGCAGGTTCTAACCCTATCGGGTGTGTCTCGTGTGTTCCACTCGAGGTTCCAGTTATTGACTTCCGTTGGGGATTTCCAGAGGTCATGGACGGCACTGTTAGACTTTATTGTTGATTTTGCACTAAGGAAGAGTCACGAGGTAGGAAACGAGAGAAATAAGAATACATTTGTTATTTTCTACATATTTTATGGGATCATCTTTATGTCGCAGATTCACATGAAAGTAAAACCATAACTTAAGATTAGTTTATCAACACTGATAAACTATCGTAAAAAAAGAGTGTGTGTACTTATGTACACGCGTTAGAAGTTATACTTCTTTGGCGTATGGAAAAAAATAACTAAAATGCAATAGTGATCAACGATAAATATTAAAATTAATCAATAAAATTATTATTAGTAAATACTATCACCGCCGTATATGAAATTGATTTAATGAAAACACCAAAATAATATTTATTTATTCACACTGTTTAATTGTACTGTTACGAAACACGTGTTCTAAATATAAAAATACTAGAATATACAACTTGAACCTAGTTATTATCGATTTTCATGCCACCTAGAACTAACTTCGATCTGTTAATTTTGTGTAACGGTGCGCGCGCATAGTAAAATTTCACCCTCATCAATTTTTCATAACGCGAAAGAAGAATTCAAAACATTTCTTTAATAAAGCGTTCGATCAAGTAAATAATATAACATCTTTAAAAAAGTGAACTCGCCGAAGAATGTAAGAATTAAATAATATTTTCAGGTATCAGTAGCAGCATTAAAGTCATTCCAAGAGGTGGTGACAGCAGCGGGTCGCGTGGAAAGTGAGAGTGCGGCGAGCAACAAACGCATTTGGGCTGCTGCGTGGGCTGCTTGGACCAGTATTGCGTCTAACCTGCATTCCGATACAGCCACTAGGACAGGTAGACTTTTTTACCCAAAAATACTATCGTACAAAAAAAAGAGAGAAAGAGTCTAATATACAAGGCCGAATCACTTATAAATGTTTTTCATGGTATTTCAGCATATAATAGAATTTTGTGAATTAAATTTTTCTTTGGACCAGATTATTTCAGCTGCCTTTCTCTAAGACTAAACAATTTACTTGAAAGGTAATAAATGTTTATATTTCAGTGCCAGAAGATGGTAAACCTGTTGAGTTGTATTCGCCATCATTGAATTTCCTTACTACCCTTGTGCAGATCTTCCCTCTCATCTTCCAACATATACGACCATCGTAAGTATCTATTTATTAGATTGCATAAATGTTTTGTTAAATATTATATGTTCCTCCATGTTGGGACGGTCTTGATAAATTTAGTATTAATTTTTCAGGTGTGATGTGGAGAGACAATTTTCTCACTGTAATATACTTTTGTATTTAAAAAAAAAAATGTATATTAATTCTATTTAAATTTCCTTTAAAGTTTTACCCCAAAAGACGTAGAGCAACTCGGCCAATGTCTATGCAAAGTGTGCAGTGTTGAACCTTCCGCATCCGCACTGGACGGCCTCGGTACGGGCACGCCCGCTAGTATGCACGCCCTGCATTGCCTCGACACTGTACATAAGGTATTACTTTATGAATTTAACAAAATTTCCTATTTAATATTATTCATATTGGTCAAAGCGTATGTAGTGAGTAGGCCTATCTAGCCGAAAGTACTTGCGAAAGAAAAAAATATTCTTCCCAAGAAAAATATTCTTCGCGAAGCCATTGAAATCAAAAAACACCTCAATTTCAATAGAGAAGACGGCCTAAAATTGTCAAACACCTGGGATCTGTAAAGCACGCGAAACGTCGGTTAAAATTAAAATTATGTAAAATAATTGTAAATTTATACTAAAACATAACTTCAAATCCGTTAAAAAAGTGTTTTTCAATTATTATTTTCTTTCATAGGAAGCCCTAGTCCGCCATGAGTTATTGCCAGCGATGTTCTCAGCACTAACCTCTCTAGCGGACGTAGTAAGCTCCCAACCGACAGCAAGTGCCCGTTGTCTCTCCGCTGCCGCGGCGCTGTATCGGGCTGCGCCTGCGCCGAGTAAACATATTTTGCCGCACTTGCTGCAGGTAACTTTGACCATAGGTCTTGAAAACAGTTAAATTAAGATATATATAATTTTATAGCCTGATGTTTTGGTTTGGATCTTTCTATGGTAATTCGTTTAGTGTGTTACATCTATATATTTGGTCACCTTAGTACTGCTTATTCGATTGAATAAAAAAAAAAAATTTGTTAATTTTCGTAATTTGTGTGATGTAATTTAGTCAGACTTTTTGTACCTAGTTTTACCTACTCCACTAAAGAGTATTTTTGAGAGAAGAGGAAAAAAATCCACCCTTTTTTACTAATGACTCCCCAAACGGGAACAATTCCAACTTTTTATGAAAGAACTAAAGCGAAAAAGCTATTCAATATTACACAATTTTATTTTCTTAGGCTCTTCACATAGCAGTGAAGAAGTGCAGTCCAGAGAAACGAAGACGGAACAGCGAGAGAGAAAGAGATCAACCGGATGAGACGGCGCAAATTGCTACGTTGTTGTTGCAGGTACATTATACATATGTTTCAGTTAATATTTGTGAAATCTGAATTAATATTGAATACAATGATTTACAAGCTCCAATTTTTTCATTCAGGTTCTGGCCACTGGGTTACCGTTAGCGAGAGAAAAGCCTGACGATTACAAAGAGTTTTGGGAAATATTGCCGGGCGTGCTTGAAACGTTCATGTTTGAACCGCCGTAAGTTTATATGTATTGGTTATCTCTTACTATTAGACATTAGTTTTCCATAGTTAACAAATAATAATAATAAAAATTTATAAAAAAAATTAAGGAATTTGATCGTTCTATAACGCAATATCTATTTAGTTTAAAAAACTTCTTACACGCTGATTTTAGAAGATTTGCATTACTCATAATTTGTTACTAAAAGTTTTAGGTTTTCTTTTCTTGTTTTGTTTATTTTTTTTTAACTTGGATTTGTTATTGTTTGTCTTATGTTACTGTCAAATAGAAAACTACGCAATAAATACACTGAGGTGCGAACTAGTTTGACACATCCGTTAAACTGCGTATTTATAGCTTTTCGCTTACCAATTTTAAATCCATTTTCCAAGATATGATAATATAATCACAATGTTATTATATAGTGTGGGTTGCGGCGGCCAAGCCCGTGAAGTCGTATGTGTGATCCGCGATGAAGTGTTGGGCGGTTCCCCTCGGGCGCCCGCCCATGCCGCTAGACGCGCCCTGCATCTCGTCAGAGCGGGATCCATGCATGCCAATCACGCTGCTAGTATGTATTAAATAAACTTTCAGGGTTATTTAAAAGCGAATCATATTTTATTTTTAATAAATTTGAGCTGTGTTTTTAAGATTTCTAATTTAAATGCTAAAATTATTTTCTATATCTTCACTGACCTTTGATGGCAAACTTGGTTCCTTATATTTAGAAGCTCCAGAATTTAATCTTTATTTTAGGCAGATAACTTTTATCGGTGTATTTAATTCGTTTTATCATTTGCAAATGATATTTCTGCAGAAAACGAGCAAGAACTTCGGGAGCGTGAGGAATTTGCCCGAGCGTGCTTTGAGACTTTATTGCAGTTCTCGATGTTGGAAGATGTCGATTCCATCGCAGCCGGAGAAGGTAGATAAACTTTTTTTTAATGTAACTTATCCTTCATTCATCGCGGTCCATTTTGTGCTATGACTTACAGAAGGCATGGTCCATATTGACTAAGGTATTATAAAAATAGTTTTAAATTCAAAATTTATAAAGCGTAATTGAAAAACCGTATTATGAAAAAAGTATTAAACATTTAAAAAAAAATTGTTTTTGAATTTCAGAAGACGCAGACCCACTAGCCATAATGCCACTTCTAGACCGGTTTCAAGAAGTCATCTCGAAATACAGTTCTGAAGACGATTCAGAACCTTTAACCAGGTTTGTAGTGACGTGTAGGATGATTAAACAATCATCCATTTCCATTTCATACATTTTGCTTGGCTTTCCCGAGATAGTTTATGTTTTGCGTGATATCGTTGTAAAAGTGATAGTACTTTTAAAGCTGTTTGAATAATGTTCTCTTGAAGTATAATTTTTCATGATTTCTTTAATATCTCTTATGTTGAAAGAAAACATCGTGAAGGAATAGATGGAAGACGACAGCGTGTGTTAGGCCTTCTGTGCCTAACACACGCCGTTACTTGCCTATCAGAAAAAAACAAATGCAACGCTAGTTGCCTAATAGAAAAAAAAAGATTTAGTTTTGTCTTGATTATTTTCAGACATCAACTGTCTGAGATATCGTTTGTCCTAAAAGCGATAGCGACCCTCACTGATGCCATGAAGCGAGCGCCACCCGCAAAAGTAGACGCTACGGCCTGGCAGAAGCTTATAGGTGAGATTAACATTTCAGTTATTTATCAGGTGTTTGAAGTGCGTGTGAATTTTTGTTTCTGCGGGGATTGAACCCAGACCCTTCGAATTATACGACATATTTTTTTATGTAATTTTTAATTAAACTAAAACTCTGGTACTAGTAAATTCACTTTTTTGTTTTATCTATTTAGTAATTTTAGTTGAGTACATTTAACATGGTCATGGCAAATAAGTTCACAAAAGGCCAATCGAATTTAGCAAAAGCTTTTACTAATTCTATCTATCTATAGGTATATACCCGCTGATAGTGGGTTTGGCAGCGGGGGGACGTGCCTCGGGGCCCGGTGGTTCAGGGCCCGCAGTGCGAGAAGCCCTTCTGCAGTTCGGGGGCCTTCTGGCTGCGCCGCCCTAGCGCCTGCTTTACACCATTCACATATAGAGCACGAGGCTCTAAAAGCGTCGTCAGCCTGAACAGTCGTTACTAGATATCAAATAGAATGGGTTCTGTCAGCTCTTAGATGTTTACACGTCTTATTAAGAAGTTCCGAATTTACGCAAGAAACAATTAATTTTTTAGAAAAACATTTCTCCGTCTGCGAAGGTGCATAGCCTTTACAAACACAACACTATAAAGGAAATAGAATCACAAACATATTCCTTTTTTTTTTTCAATTCAATAACTTTTTGCGTCGTAAATCGATAATAAAGATTGATTACTAAGTTTTAAGTTAATTAATGTTTACGAAACCATAAACACCGAGATATTTATATCTATTTCTATGTGAAAAAACGAAATATTTAGATAAAAAAGTTCAAACCGTTTTCAACTAGCGAATAGAGAGAATAATTCCTCAATCATCCTTGACAGAATCCATTTGTATAATTTCTGGGCGATTTTAGGATAGGATACAATGTTAAAATTAGCTTAAGCCAATAAAGAATTTCGCCACTGATAATTTTGGCTGTGAATTGGTGATATGGCTTAGATTTTGATTTAATTCGGCTGACGACATCAACCTGCTATAGTGCAACGTGAATAGACTAGTACGCGTAGTGCGAGATTGTGTTGCATAGTCAATTCGAGTGATCATCGAAATAGTGACGTTAGTGTAATAATAAATCTAAAGGCTTGTCGAAACAATTGACGTTTTGTGTATACTTGATTTGTAAATTAAATTTTTATGCATTATACTAATATTTCTACTTCCATGAGCTAGTATTCAAATAAATTAAATTTTTGGCAGTTATGTTATTGTAGGACAACTTGACGATGTATCCAACCGTCAATGTTAACTTGTGCTGAACAGCGTATAAACAATTAATATTTTTACTATAAACGCAATGACATGCGAGCTAATTTAATCTATAGACTTAAAGATATATATATCAAACAAATTGTGTAACCATAGAAATAAAATATAAAACAAATGTAAGCTTTTTACGTTAGCTACAATTAAATTTCGAGTTAGTAAATATTTGCAGCAATTTCCAGACGAATTTTATGTGCACATTTTTGTTAATATAAAATCTATAAATTAAGCATTACATGTTGTATAAGTGAAAACCTTATATATTCAATAGTAGCTACATGTTTTATTTACATTCCTATGTTCGTGAGTTATTTAAAATTTCCCAAAAAATCTGACATAAGTAGTTATAGAAATACCTCATAGAGGATGCGTGCATTATTACTTTTATACGATAGAAGCTAGCAACACCGTAGATATCCATAGTTGTATTTTAGTATTTTTCAATATACAATATTTTCGGGACATGTAAATAGTCAAATATTGCTTAGACAGAATTTATTTAGAGTCAACAGGTATATCGAATAGACTGGCCGATAATTACATAGATATTCCACCAATTATGATCAAAAAATTAATGTGGAATTTTTATTCGTACAACATCACACGCGAGACTCCTCAAACTTCTCTACAAGAGTGTCTATTTTCACTCAGTTTATTCCATGTTTCCTGTCTATGGTATTGATTAGATGACATGGTAATAAATAGATTGGTAGTTGGCCTAAATAGGATTTATTTAGTGTGCCCTATAATTTGTAATTTATTTTCATATAATTGTGTTGTAAACCGAGTTACCGAAGTTTATGAAATTGTAATGCAATAATGAATACTCTTAAGGATTAACTGTTTATGATGTAATTATGAACGTTATTTTTAAATATTCTATTTAAGTTATTCGTTTGTGACTGACATTAAAGTAATTTAAATACGTTGTTTTTTATTAATAAAGATAAAAACCTCCTCATAAACCTTAAAACAATACGGGGTTTCTGTCTGTGTAGAGGATATTTTATAAATATCATACATATTTTCCTGTAATAAATGCGAAATATAAGTATAATAATATAACTTACCATGATAGTGGGATCATTGCCCTGTGGTATTTTTAGTAGGCGTCATTGAAATTATCTGTGTGCAGAGATTTTCAAATAAGATTTGACTAAGTCGATAATTTTAAATAATATCTCTTTCCTAATCTTCGTGTTATACCTCTTCCTGTAACAAAAATGGCGCCAATTTAAAATATATTGTATTTATTAATTTAACAATATTTAACTTAACGAAGCCTATACTTAAGTCTGTCGTAAAAAGTGAGGTTAAGTTCTGATTACCATTATGTCAAACAAAGTAAACCTCAAATGTATTTACGAGTATATATAACTGCAATAAGGTAAATGAAAAACAAAATGTCTAATCGCGATATTCGTATCGATTGTCGGATCCGAAACACTTTCGTAAAAGGAAATTGTACGTTACGTCAACCAAAACTTCATATTTCGTTTTTCGCAATAGACCTCCAGGGCTCAGTGGCTTCCGTCGGTCCTGATGATGCTTATTGGCCGGCCGTGTGTTGGTACATTGCTCTCCTATCCAATAAACGGACTAGTACAGTTGTACAAAATAAAAGCTTTTTATTGTTGAATTTTATGAGATTGCGGTTAAGTTACCTTAATACACGTTTACCTAACTGTCATGCTAAGGAAGTTTATCCCTTAGTATTAATATTTTCGCAAAGATGAAAAAAATACTAAGAGAAGAAGTAGTGTGTGTAGTGTGGACTGCTTCTGCACTTAGACTCCCATTTGGTTCGTTATGCGTTAAGTCCTAGCTAATTAAGCCAGTCTAGAGCTTGAAGCTCAGAAGTTGCCTCTGCGTTTCGTAAGCTTCACAGAGCGAACTAATAGTAATATATAAATGTATTTACATCCGTCACATTGGAGTATAAGAGTTATAGAGTGCGCTAGTCTCTTCGAAAACATTAGAGATAGAATATGTCCTGTGTACGTTCTTCCTCAATAAAGAATAGCCGCCTTGGCCGAATCCTTCTTGAGAACATTAATTTTACAACATTATAAAGTATATTTTATTAAAATATCAGCTTTTTGTTATATATGTCAACGTAAAATTGTAAAAACCGTTACGCCTTTAGTACACCTACGCGTTCGTACGCGGCTGCGAATCTTTGCGAAATAATTGCGGTAGCGAAATATCTGCGGAACGTTAGTACACTGCAGGTTTTTCGCAAGGATATGTCATTGTAGCTAATCAGCGCGCGAGGTGCGTACCGTTTCACAATTTGACGATTTCACTTCGATAGATTATAATCTACCGAATAATAATACGTTAAATTGTAAGCAGTACGTTGAGTTCACAATCTTTCGACAGTTTATAATCTCGCGAGATAGATTACAATCTAACGGTATTTACAATTTTACGTTAACATATTATATATTAACCAGGCGGGTAAATCTATTTGTCTACTGTCGATTCTTCCTCGTTCTCTAAATAATAAAAGGTAAAATTGTGCCATATCATTTATTTTTATAAACAAAACATGATTGCAATATCACAAGTTTACTACACTACATTCAACAATAGATTCGAAAATACATATACAAAACAAAAATAACGACAAAACAGACTGTCACAGGAATGTTATATGAAGTAAAATATTTTATACTTGAAATATTACGACAATAAAATGTTAAACAGTTAAAATTTCCTTAGAAGACTTAGTTCTACTAATTCATGATTCGGAATGTAACAAAAACTCCAGATTATTTAAATGCATCAAACAAAAATATATTGCAATATCAAAAATGGCACAAATTTTTGTCAAATAATTAATTAATTGTTCTTAGTTATAATATTCGAGCATCGTTCAAAATAATTAGTAAATTCAATAACACTGATTGCACAAACCGTATATTGAGCAATAATTACGCTCTATATATTTCATTTATAAAAATATTAGTGGTTATACCGTAACAATAAATAAATTTTATTTAAAATGATGTAAAATTGCAACATATTGTATAGAACATCATTCCACCCGAGCCCACTCCCAACGATAAAAATAAACTTAATAATCCATTTAAATATTTAACAGAAATTTTGTAATAAAAAAAAAATAAGGATACCGATAAAGTCTCATGTGTTACAAAAATAAGTTCCTTGTTTTAATTTCGAACTCCAGAAGCATCTCTTATCAAACTTAATAAAGATAAAACGATTTGACATATCCTCAAACGAGATTCACGCTTAGATGGGCTTTCAGATACTTTATGAACAGGCAAAAATCAGATCCTTAATTTAATAAATTTAGCTATCTATAGGTAACGGATTTGAGCTTGACGTATTGCACATCCGATAAAAATTAAGTATCTAAATATAACAACTATTCAAGTGTCGTCAAAAAGTGAATAAAATAGATAGAATAACACTCGCACAACACAATGTAACAATAGTAATAAATGCACACACAAACAAATTTTTATTGCGCCCCCATTTGGTTGACTAACTAGCTGAAAAAATTACTTGATATTTCTATCTATAGTATAGAACTCGGCCCTGAGGTTTTAGTTCCACCAATAAAAAAAATGTTAATGTGAACATTAATTAATTATTTAGAAATAGAAATCTAAATAAATTCATGTCAAGTTATTTATAAAGAGGTAATAATTAATATTAGAGCTATATAATTTGAAGTAGACAACATTTAGTAGAAATAGATAAATCTTAAAAATTCGTAAAACTAGTCACAGATACTAGATATAAAGGAAAATTATTATAAAACAGTTTAAAGAGAGTTATCTACTAACGCTAATTGGGTAAGAATTACTTAAATATTGGCAACGCTATACGATACATCATATAAAGACAACAAAATTATAAATGCATCCCCACGCAACATTTGTTCGTAATGACGTATAAATAAAACTGTCACATATTTAAGTAAATACAAATTTTAAAATAAAGAAAATGTCGTACTAGCGCTAGTAAACAAACCCTGTTTAACTCGGTAAACATTTGTTCCTAATAAATATTCTAAAATTACTTTGGATATGACTGTATACCGGTATCACTGATCATAGTTCTATTATAT